TATTTATTTATTGAAATTAAAATACACAACCGTGACAGGTGAAAACATGATTAGATCATTTATTCAATGTGTGATCAACCCTCTCCCGAATTAAATATATTTTCTAAACATATTCTGTTGTTTTCTACTGAAGACATTCAGACACAAATTCATTCAAGTCTAAGACTTGGTTTGAAAGAAAGTTTAAACAAAGAAAGAATAACTTTGGCCAGAATAACCAGAAATAACAAGCATTAGCTGAACTATGTCTAGTCCAAAATGAGAATGAGTGGTCAAACTGTTTTGTTGGGTAGAAAATATCGAAGTGGAACCATCTGGAGCCACCAGCAGCAGCAGCAGCAGCAGCCAGGGGGAATATTTGGACAAATTCTATCTGAATTAGTCCAGGATTATTTTTAGGTGCTGCTGATTATTAAACATTTTCAATTGTGCTTTCAAATCATCACAAGTACGTTTCTCCACTCCAGCTGACGCTCTGATCCTCGGGCGAGTCACTACCTGGACCTGCGGTCTTTTTTGTTTTTGTCCAGGTTCTTGTCCATTGTCTTTTCATTGTCCCCTCTGCATTTGGGACAGTACCACTTGCCCTTGGGCTTGTACGTGAGTCCCACGCAGGAGAAGTGGAACCACTCGATGGGACACTGCTCGTTGTCGCAGCCGATCATCTCGCCATACGACACCTGCTCACACAGGCAGTAGGTGGGCTCGTTGGGGTCGATGGCGAAATCGACGGGCGAGGCATCTCGTTCCTGTTTGGCCTTGCGCTTCTTCTTCTTTGACGACTTGGACTTCTTTTCTCGCAGAGGGGGAAGGGACAGCTCGTCCACAGAGTCATCCACCAGTGAGCCGTTGGCAGAGGGGTGGGTGGAGTCACGGCTCTCGCTGTTGCGTTGGCGACGTGGGCGGCGGGTGGAGGTGCGCTCGGGGAGGGGGCACTCCTGGACGCTGCTAGGCCGCTCCACGGTGACGCGCTCGGCTTCGCCGGGCTCCTGGAGGGAGAGGGAGTGAGAGTCCATTTGACGGGAACGATTCTCCACCAGCTCAGTCATCTGGGTCACCACGTGAATCTTCTCATCGCCCAGCTCCTGGCTGATGATGAGGGCTCTCTGCAGCTGGATCTGCAGGCGCTTCCTTTGAGCCAAGTCTTGCTCCGCTTTGTACTTTTCAAACACCTCGTCCACCTCCTTCAGCACCTCTGCAGAGAACAGGAAACACCAATTAATGCGTGCATTGGCACACCACAGAAGTTTGAGCAAGTCAAACATTCCCAGTGTTCAATTAAAGCAGCCACTGAAGAATGTCTGGGGAATTTTGGTCAAGGACTTGATCACTAACTAGCTGGGAGGCCGGGGTCGTCGTGACTTGTAGTAGCTGATAAGCGTGTATAAAAAGTATTCCCTGCGTAGTATGTTTTAGGAATAACTCTCAGCTACTGCATCATCAAATTTTAGCTCAGTATCAGTAAAATTTGTGCACTGAAGGATGAGTTCTGTTTTATCACTGTTTAGATTGTTTGTATACCAGTGAGCTCACTTAGACAAGGAGTACACCCAGTGTGAGTGACTTACTGTATTTTTTGGCCTATAAGTTGCATTTTTTTGCATAATCTACATGCCCTTTGACTTATACAACGAAGCGACGTATTTATGGATTTTTTCCCATATTTATAAGACAATTTTTGGCTGAGATATGACCGTTTCCATTCGTTCTGACTGAAATGTTGAACACTACCATTTTCAGCCGCTAGATGGCACTCGAGTAGTATGGCATGCCGTTGTGTCATGTAATAGGTAAAAGTGACTATTAATGGCACAATCAGCTTGCCAAAGTCAGCCACCTTCTTCAAGCTCGCCTGGAGCAACTGTCAAACCAGTTTCATTTCGCTGCACCTCCACAGCAAAATGCAGCTAATTTGACCATTGAAGTGCATTTATTAAGTAAAAGTTCAACTGAGACACACCTTTACCATGTCGAGCAAACAAATAATTGTTTTAGGTGCTTATCTTGTTAAATTTCAAAGAAATGTGCAGCATTCCTCCTTCCTGATTTTCTCCCTCAGAGCACGCTCCCAGAGCACCGAGGCAGTAAATGCTTTTGAAATACAGCTGATTTGACCTTCAAAGTGCTTTTATTCAGGATAAGTTGAACAGACATACCTTTGCTACAATTTTGAGCAAACAAATAATTGTTTTTAAGTGTTAATCTTGTTAAATTCTTGTTAAATTCCTCCCGTGCACGCTCCCACAGCCGCCATTTGGCAGCTAAACAATTTTTGGCACACCTGCCCACATTTCCGGGTTGTCAGCGGTGATGTGTAACAAACGCAACGCATCAGTGGTGACGCATAGCAGATGCGACTTATACGGTGAAGCGACATATTTATGGATTTTTCCACTTTATTAGATTTATTTGGACTGATGTAACTTATAGAGCGGTGCGACTTGTACGGCAGAAAATACAGTAAATCCAATGTAGAGCTTTATTAAAGTCTATCCAGTGGTTAGTGAGATATTTTGTGAACAGACAAAAGTTAACGAGAAGTAGTTGACGCACCCTCTCAAGTGTTGTTTATATCCAGAAATGTGGAGAAGAGGGAAATAGGGCGGGGCCTCAGTCAGTTCCTGCCTACAGGAAGTGACGTCAATATTATTGCGGTTGCAACTTGCTAAGGAGAAGAGGGTCTGCTCCTTTCAGCTCCTACGGCAGCAAACGGAATGCCGAGTGAAACTCATAATAATGTAAATCAGACTTGAAGTGAATTAAAAGGTTTCGGTGTATGTCTCGTTTCCAGCTCGCGCTGTTTAGGGACTTGTTCCCCTAATGGAGGCTGCTGAGTTCCGCTGCTCCCTATGACAAAACTAAAGACAAGGCTTTTTTTGTTTTGTTTTGCTTTTTGACAAAGGTCTGCAATCATAAAAAGGTTATTTATACTTCACCTAGCCTCGTAGTTAACGTGAGCTAATTGACTCGAAAAAAATACTAACACAAACGGTACCTTCGAATCCCATACCAGATTACATTGTGAGAACGACTGTGTTTAGTAAACACTCGTTATACAACGTTTCACACAAAAGTTAAATCATGTGTCAACGCCGTGCACACCTGCAGAGTACGTTTTAGCATTCGGCAATAAATAAAACATCCAATCAACATTTTACTCAAATATAAATTAGGTTGTTATCGATATGTTGACAGATATGCTGGTTCCTCTCGCCGAGTTAAGCAGAGGACCTTTCAACTATCAAACATGTTTTTTTTATAATATAAACTCCGAGATTATAGTAAACACTTATGCCGACTTTGCAAATGAACGGGCTTGTTGAAAGAAAATTGTTGTAAAACGTCATACTATGTATAGATGTAAGCCATGTTTAAGAAATGCTAAATGTAGTAAATACCTAGTGGAGTTTGGAGCTGCACATCAACTGGATAAAGCGCATCCGGGCTAAGCTAACTGTTGGATTTTGGAGTTTTAATTCTTGTTTTATTCAACCTGTGTGGTTCCCCCTTGTCTCACACAATCACATTACTGTTCATCCGAGTGGCGAGCGACTAGCTTCTCTCAAAACGGGTTGTCGCGTTTGGCGCCCCTCCTCCATTTCAGCAATAACATACTGACAATGTTTACCAAGCCTACACACGTAGTTGTATTTAAACACAGTACCTTGATACTTTGCATCAATTTCTCGAAGCAGAGAAACATTTCTTTGTATGTCCAAAGGCAGGGACTCCACACATTCCAGATAATCCTCCACATAGTTGACCAGTTGTTGCGACTTGTCCACATTTTGATAATGATGGCCTAACATCGTCTCTCCGATGCATAGATATACAAAACGCTGTGAATGAAAGTGAAAAAAATACTGTTTAAATCAAAGGACTGGCGACTTTTGCAGCTTGTAGGGCAGTTCCAGGCAGCAATCAACTTCAAACAAAACTCACGTTACTGCGCATGCGGGAGTATCTTCCTTTTATGGGAATGTACCGTTTCTTTTCCCTTTTCGTCACGAAGGGCGGGGCCTTGAAGTTAAACGCTGCGTGATTGGTGAAAAGAAAAACTTTTTAACCAATCGGATTTGTCCTTACTACATTACTGCGAGTACACAAAATAAGTTTTTCTGTAGTTTACATACTGTGTTTAAAAAAATAATAATAACGTGTAACCTTTTTAAGCAGACATAACATTTTACCATCATAATATAACCGTTCAGATTTATTATTTTCATTCAACCTTTATTTATACAGGTTAGTCTCATTGAGGACGGGGACTCATTTACAAGAGAGACCTGTTTTTAACAAAGAATGATGACAACAGTAGACAATAAAGACAGCAGCAGACAACCATAAAAGAAAGCATATAAAATGAGAAGAATAAATGAAAGAAAATGGTATTTTTAAAAAAGTTTTGTTTTCCTTTCCTTGTGTGTCTATGCATGTTTTTCCTCTGTCTTTTAGCTAAATATTTCTTGAACCAGTAGACACATTTTATATAAACTTTGTAAAAGAAATCATTGGATGTACATCTACAATTGACTGACTTTTGTAATCAAAGATTATAGATGACTTTCGCAGCCAAATGACTTTGCTGGATAATATACAGCACATGCGTCAAACTCAAGGCCCGCGGGCCACATGTGGCCCGCCATACATTTATATTCGGCCCGCGAAATCGTTTTATATATCTGTTTTTAATGGCCCTGTGATATGACGCCCCAATAACACACACTACAAATCCCATGATGCAGTGCAATTGCCGCCAACGGCAAGCCACGGTTCAAGTTCGAGTCCATCCATCCATCCATTATCTTTACCCGCTTATTCCATTTTGGGTCACGGGGGTCGCTGGTGCCCATGTCCAGCAATCACTGTGCGAGGGGCGGGGTACACCCTGGACAGGTCGCAAGTCCATCACAGGGCCACATAGAGACAAACGAGACAAACAACCATTCACTCTCTCACTCACACCTAGGGACAATTTAGAGTTACCAATCAGTCTAACATGCATGTATTTGGTCTGTGGGAGGAAACCGGAGCACCCGGAGAATACCCACGCTTGCACGGAGAGAACATGCAAACTCCACCCAGAAAGACCCCTGGACCGGGGTTTGAACCAAGGACCTGCTCGCTGAGAGGCAGCAGCTCTACCAGTTGCGCCACCGTGCTGCGGTCTGTTGATGTATACAACGCTAATATCAAAGCTAGACCCCAACAATGGCCAAGAGAAAAATTGATTCTGAAAACCGAGGCTTTCAAAGCCGGTGGGAGAATGAGTATATGTTTACTGAAATTGCAGGTAAACCAGTGTGTCTCCTTTGCGGGAGTAATATCGCTGTAATGAAGGAGTATAACCTAAGATGGCACTACGAGACAAAACACGAGAACAAATTCAAAAACCTGAGCGCAGGACAGAAGCTACAAAAGGTAGAGTTGAAGAAGAATTTGACATCCCAGCAGATGTTTTTCACCAAAGCAAAATCACAAAGTGAAGCTGCTGTGAAAGCAAGTTTCATTGTGGCCGAAGAGATCGCCAAATCAGGACGGCCGTTTACCGAGGGGGAATTCGTAAAGAATTGTATGATGAAAGTGTCCAGATAAAACGCGAGCGTTTGCAAATCTAAGCCTCAGCAGAAACACTGTTGCTAATCGGGTTTGTGAGCTGGCGACTGATTTGAAAACACAGTTGATTGAAAGAGCAAAAGATTTTGTTGCATACTCCCTTGCCGTGGATGAAACTACTGACGCGACTGACACTGCACAGCTGGCGATATTTATCCGTGGTGTGGATTCCAATTTGTGCGTAACAGAGGAAATACTGGACATTAAATCGATGCACGGGACAACGAAAGGAGAAGACATCTTTGGAAATGTATTTCAAAGTGTAACCGACATGAAACTGCCGTGGGAAAAACTTGTTGGACTTACAACAGATGGCGCACCTGCGATGTGTGGTGAAAAAAATGGACTGGTGGGAAGGATGCGCTCAAAGATGCGGGAGGAGAACTGTGCCGGTGAGTTGACGGTGTATCACTGCATCATTCACCAGGAATCGCTGAGTGCTAAAGTCCTAAAAATGGATCATGTGATGAACACTGTAACACAAACCGTCAACTTTATCAGAGCCCACGGTTTAAATCACCGCCAATTCCAGTCTTTTCTGCGGGAAATAGATAGCGAGTTTGGCGATATGCCATATCATACGGAGGTCCGGTGGCTAAGTCAGGGAAAAGTTCTTAAAAGACACTTTGAGCTGCGAGAGGAAATCTGCCAGTTCATGGACAGTAAGGGGAAAGACTGCACAGTTCTGCGGGATGAAAAGTGGAAATGTGAGTTGGCGTTCCTAGCTGACATAACGTCGCATCTTAGCGCTTTAAACCTTCAACTCCAGGGACGGGAGCACATAATAACCGATATGCATGATGCAGTGAAGGCATTTCAAGTGAAGCTGCGCTTATGGGAGACACAAATGCACCAATGCAACTTGTCTCACTTTCCCTGTTGCCAAGTAATACGGAACCAAGAAAGTGCCACAGTTTTCCCAAATGCCACCTTTGCTGAAAAACTCAGCGCGCTGCGCACTGAGTTTGCACGGCGCTTCAGTGACTTTGAGGCACAGAAAGTAACTTCGAGCTGCTTCGCAACCCATTTGCAGTCGATGTGGAAACCGCACCTGTAGAAATGCAGATGGAGCTGATAGAACTGCAATGTAACGGGACACTGAAGGCAAAGTACGACACTGCGGGGCCAGCACAGTTCACTCGCTTCATTCCTGAAGCGATGCCGCAGCTCCGCCAACATGCGGCTCGAATCCTGTCCATGTTTGGCAGCACATATCTGTGCGAGCAGCTGTTCTCTGTGATGAAAATTAACAAAACGTCACACAGGAGTCGCCTCACTGATGAACACCTGCAATCGATCCTGAGAATCTCCACAACACAGAACCTAACCCCAAACATAAACGAACTTGTTGCAAAGAAAAGACTCCAAGTATCAGGCTCTGACTAAATAGGACAAGAAAATGGAATGTTATGATTATACTTTTGCTTTAAATTCAATTTTTTATTTATATTTTCGGATTTTTTTAATATTCCAGCATGTACAGATTTTGAATGTATTGTATTGACAGGATATTTTTTTATGAAGAGCAAAATATTTTAAGTTGAAATGTATTTATTTTGGAATGATATCCTGTATTTTGTTTCATATTAATGGTTAAAAAACATAAATATTTAGTCTGTTAAATAAATGGTTATACTGTTCGGCCCGCGAGTTTTGAGTTTTGGCCCCCTGTGCAATTGAGTTTGACACCCCTGATATACAGTAAAAGACTGTCACAGCAAACAGGTCAAAGTATGACATCAACAAGTATGTATCTTAATATGGTTTTTGGCCATTTTGATGAGCGGTTTTGTGTAGAAGTTATTAACAAATATTTAATATTCATTGTAGAAGGATTGGAGAAACAGACTCCAAATTCAGCCAAGCTCAAAATGGATTGCTTTTAAACAGTTTCAATCTCCAATGATTAATATAAGTTAATGCAAACAGTATTTCATAACCTTTACAAACCATTCATATCTGCATTATACAGGTATTTACAAAAATTTACATTGGCAATTGCAATAGACAACCGTTACTCAGCTTGGATAAAATATGTGTCATGCAATCCACATTTCTGATTACCTAACAAGGTTGCTCCAAAACTGCTTTGGACACAAACATCTAACGCCATCACTGGACAGCTGGCAGAGATTCTGGAAGAATCAGCTCATATTTTTTGGCACCACCCACTCCACATCAGCATTCTAATTGGTTGTGTTTCCTGTAAGTTAAACAAACTCATCCTGCAGAGCCTCTGACTGTGCTCAGCCTTCTCTTCTGACAGTGAAGTCCAAACCACTGAGAAAAAAACGTTCAAATATGTTTCTCCCTGGAGACATGAATTTAGAACAATCTGATTGGATAGATTAATTTTCATGAATTAAAAAGTTGATTGCCCAATTGCAAAGTAGTTTATAAAAAAAATAGAAATTAGCAAAAAAAATTACGTTAAAACGTCCTTACATTTTCATATAATTTAAATATTAAACAAAAAAATTATTTATCAATTCACATGTGCTGATTTTATGAGCCTTTTCTGAATCTGCAGAGGGCCCTGTGGGTTCATCAAGCTACTGACTGTACAAGTGTAATTAGCAGCAGCAGTAAAATGTAGGACTTCATGAGCATTCGTCCATCCTGAATTTCAACATTTTTCTGCTTCACTATTCAAAGTATGCATTTAAAAGAAACAAAATAAAAAATAAAAATCATCACAAAGAAAACATTGAATGAAAAGAGTGCAGAAAGAAGAAAAAAATTCTTACATCTTCCCCTTATTTTAAAAAAATATAAAATAACTTTAAACAATCACTTAAATTAATCACAATAATATCAACTTTAAAGCTAGAAATTAAAAAAACATTTTTTGTGTTAGTAGAATTAAATTCTAACTTTAAAACTTATCCAACATTAATAAAACTTACCTCAAGTTGCCTTTTTGTACATGCAAGCATATATTTGTACAGATTGTACTTGAGAGGAGATTATTACAGCCTCATATAAAATCAATGATGATCATGATATCGGAACTGGATCGGTATCGACCGATATCCAGATTTAGGTATCGGGATCGGATCGGAAGTAAAAAAAAGTGGTTCGGTGCATCCCTAATTTTTAGTTAACGTTTTTCTTAGTTCATATCTTAGATCTTATTACTGTTTTTCTTTTACTTACTGGTTGATCCACTCTGAGAAGGTGCTATTTAAGAGACTGAGCTGAATACAGCACCTCAGACTGAGGAAGTCTCTCGGATGACATTTTTTTTTTACATTTTTTTGTTGATTTGCTTTGTTTTTTTGTTTTTTTTTTTAATGTCCAGAGGACCAGATTTAACTTTTTTAGAT